ATGTATCATTTTACCCTTTTCCATTTCATGGCCATTTCCAGAGGCTAAAATGATACATTTCCAGCTTGGACAATGGTTTCCGGAACTGGCCATGAAATGGCCAAAGTCACATCCATAGGAAGCCCTCAGATAGAACAGATTCAATTTATCAAATATTGTCGGATAATTATACCACATTTATCTTTTTTTAGGGTTGGCCCTGAACTTGAGTAGTGGTTAAGGTGGAAGCAACTTGGAGCAGATTAGTATTCATATTCCCTATTAGCGGGAACTAGTTGGAGCTATGAATAGATTTCCCAAGGACTTGATAGATTTAACATCGGTTTTCAGCTATCCAACTGGGACAGCTGCTAAGAATATCCAGAAATCGCCTGTGACAAAGATGATAAGCTGAATTGAATAATCATTTCAGCTTCCATTTTGTTGGTTTGGGAACATGGGTGAAAAACGAGCCACAAAATGGATGAGTTCCTTATTTCAATGGTGGGTCTCCAAGAAAATCAACGTTTACAAACAGGGATCATCATTAAACCTCATTTATGGGGCCAAAATCAAGTCCACCCGATCCTAGTGATTTACCACGCCATTGGCCATGATCTGAAGGACCTGGCTGCTAGGACCCTCGTAGGATGAGCGCCATGGACCCTCGTAGTACGCTCGGCATGCTCGCAGCCATCGAGAAGTTGATGGAAGACCAAGGCCGCGGGGGTCTGGTGTGGGATGTGGTGGATATTTTCTGGACAAATCCCATGGTAATTAATGGGATTTCATGTAATCTACTGTGGATTTAGCGGGGTTGAATGGGATTTAATGGGATTAAATGGGATTTACCTAAAAATTGGTCTAATCCACGCCCTCGACCATATGAAACACATATCACTGGGGGTCTTTGATATGAACGGAGGATGGTATTCATATCCCATGAGGAATACGGTCGAATTGCATGGAACATCATTTCAATGAGTTAGACATGTTCAAGAACATGTTTATTTCCCTCCAAAAATGATTAAACTCGCTAGATCATCCTTGGGTATTCCACATTTTTGGGCTAGGCTGTGTAAGATTTGCTTGGGCTTGAGAAGGGACTCACCCCTTCTCAATGGGAAAAAGGAATGCCACGAATTTACGACGCCCTAGACGGGTGCCCATGTTTCTGCTTTTTCTCCGGTTGGGGGTTTCAAATAATATTCATTGTGTTTCAACCATTTCTCGTGACATTGTCCAACCGGACTATCACGGATGATTTGTACAGCTGGTATCAGATTTGCGTTGGTGCAAGAGACCGTGCGCAATGACGCGCAGCAGATTCAAAGTGAAAAAGTGATTGGTTGAGATAAATCATATGTTTGGCTGTTTTGGATGGGTTAAAACTAGTTAAAACCATTAACCACTTATTGAAGTTGAAGGATGCAGAACACATTCTATCAAAATCACTGACGTTTCTACTGGGTCAATCTCCGCAGAACATTCCCAAAATGGATCAGCACCATTTGCAGTAAGGATCTAAACATATCTGAAGAATTCGCTGTCCGGCCGATGATGTGACTTTTTTCAAAGTGGCAAACTGGTTGGTGGTTTGGAACATGAATTTTATTTTTCCATTCAGTTGGGAATGTCATCATCCCAACTGACGAACTCCATGATTTTTCAGAGGGGTAGGTGGCTCAACCACCAACCAGCTAAGTAGCTAAGTATGATCATCAATGGGATTTTGCACCATATTAAACCATACAATCACCATATATAGGGGTAGGTGGCTCAAGCACCAACCAGCTAAGTAGCTAAGTATGATCATCAATGGGATTTTGCACCATATTAAACCATACAATCACCATATATAGGGGTAGGTGGCTCAACCACCAACCAGCTAAGTAGCTAAGTATGATCATCAATGGGATTTTGCACCATATTAAACCATACAATCACCATATATAGGGGTAGGTGGCTCAAGCACCAACCAGCTAAGTAGCTAAGTACGATCATCAATGGGATTTTGCACCATATTAAACCATACAATCACCATATATAGGGGTAGGTATACCACCAACCAGCAAACAAATGATCAACAGCCAGAGGAGCAGATTGGGTTCAGCCTCGTCCCATCGAGATGGCGTAGGTAAAAATCAACTATTTCGATTAGGGCCATAAATTGAATCGCAAACTGTAAACGTAGAAACCAGAGGGTTTTTCTAAGATAACTTTGATTCACATTTACACTTTATCTTTTTTTGGGGGGTCCCTATCTGTGAACTAATGTTCAACAATGCTGTTTTATTGAATTGATGTTCAATCAATGGAATTGATGTTCAGTAATGTTAAGCCAACCATCAATATTGGTAATTCACGAAATCATTCAGTGGCTCGATTGATGTAACTATGTACTCAAATGTGCATCAATCATTGATATACTGACTGTACATCAATCATTGATATACTGACTGTACATCAATCATTGATATACTGACTGTACATCAATCATTGATATACAGTATATGATATATATTTGCATATGCAGTGATGTATTGATACATGGATATATCTGACTTCTTTATATGCCATGGATCTCTGTTCTGCTTGATGCCTTGGTATATTCATGATGAGAGAATGGCCGTTTCAGGGCCCTAAAAAAACAGAGGTACCCTCACCCTTTTCGAGGAATGATTTTCCATGGATTTCCTAAATTTAGAGGTACCTACCATACATTGCCATACATATCATATTTTTGAGGCCTGAATTTCCATCAATGGGACCTACCAGATATAAGATCATATAAGGCCTGGAATTTCCTATTGATGACTATGGAAAATCCCCAATGTTAAGTTCGGTCAATCAACTATTTCGATTGGGGCCATGTTCAATAACTATGTAACAAATTACCAGAGGGTAGTCCTTATGATTCCCATCATTCCAATCATTTATAGATGATTTTCCACTATAATTATTCACTATAGCAATCAATTATCCAGGCTATTTTCCATGGTTTCTATTGATGATTGACAACTCTTACTATTGATGCCAGGCAATCACGCCCTGGAACGGCTGCGGAAGTTTCTCACTGCCTCCTGCGGTTCGATTTTGCGCGCCTGGTGGGGATGCCTGGTGGGGATTTTCATGGGATTTTCATGGGATTTCATGTGATTTCATGGTGGTTTGGGATTTAATGTGGGCCTAAGGTGGGTTTGACAGTGATTTAGTGGCATTTAATGGGATTTAATGGGAACATAGCGGGACATTTCATGGAAATATAGTGATTTAATATGATTTAATGGGATTGCACGGCTGATTTTCCCAGAACCGACCACCATTTCCAAAATTGCTCTTTGACTTTACCAACAAACTTGGGGAATCGAGTCGTCAAAACGAAAAGTTTCATGGGAGGTTCATATGATCCCCCATATTTTTAGAGGGAAGTAGTTTTCCGACCCTGAACTCATGGTGTCGTCAAGTCGGGGGGATGTAAATCATGTGAGTTGCAGGTCGCCCATGTTATGTCCCATTTTATAAGCCATCGCGGCTGTGTGGCAATTTGACATGGATTTTCCGAGTGCCATGTTTGGTTCCTCTTCGGTAAACGTTTACAGTTCGCGAACTGGAAAGATCCACCATCCTTTTAAGTTTGGTAAATCAACTATTTCTATAGGCCGTTTTCAATAGCTATGTCACAAATTACCTGAGGGTATCCCATTTCTAATTGTTTTTACAACCGTTTTGCCATGGGTTTTTCCTAGCATTGCCCACCATTTTCCCACCATTTTCCATGGATGGTGATATGTCCAGGATATATTTCCCATATTTTTTCCATGATTCTGACCATGTTGGCTTTGGAACCACCAGGCAAGATGGCTGAGGTGAAACATCCATGGGGAGTCAGACTCAGATGGCTGAGGTTTCATATTTAACCAATATACAGATACACGCATCTTTATGAATTACATTATGTATACATACATTATGTATATGTATATGCACATGTACATGTATATGTACATGTATATGTATATGTAGATGTATATGTACATGTATATGTATATGTATATGTATATATGCACACGTCAACACGAGCAAAATATGGTTTACTCCAAGTTTTGCCGGTGATGTCATCCCCATCCCTGGGGGTGTTGCGAGTGATGACCGGGCCAGCCTAGATTTATAAGGATTACTTAGGGGTGGCCAGGGTGACTTTGATGGGTATAACAATGGTAAACATCTCCAGTTAGGATATCAGAACCCCTAGAACTATGGTGACATCTAACCATATATATATACACATATATATATATACATATATATATATATCTATATCTATACATATATATATATATGTCCATATAAAAACCAAGTGGAACTGCACCCCAAGGAGATTTTGACATGTAGATCCCATATCTTAGGGACCCTCCAAGAAATCACCATAGAACTTCCCCTCCAACATAGCACCGGGTGTCCCTGCTGCTCAGCGGCTCCAAAGGTTGAAATATTTGGACACCAACGTGGATTATCGCATCGATAAGCTGTGGACCCAAAGGGGGGCAGGGGTTTGAAGCCTTGGGCATCCCAGAGACATTGGAAAAATCCCAGATGCAGAGCATTTGAAGGATTTTTGTGTCCAACATGTCAAAATTTCATGGCAGAGTTGGAAGCGATTTCAGGTTTGGTTTCTGGTAATTGAAGAGTTCGCCATGGAAAATGAATGAAAGTATGTAGATGATGTGCCTATGATTTTGGCCATGGTCCCAGGGCAAAGTGCAACAGATTATCCCATTATACCACTATTATACCGCCATTATACCTCCATTTCTGTTCGTCATTCATGTCCTCTGGATATATATATATATATATACACACATATATATACATATATACACATACATACATACATGACGGGATATAGGGTTCTCACTAGTTGCTACGCCAACCTTTGGCTCAAGAACACCGCTGCTAAAATAGCGAGTTGCATATTCTCCGTTCATGGTAGCGGAGCGATACGCTCCAGGGTCTTAGCAATGGACCAACAACAAGCGGCACAGGTCCTCCAGTCGCTCCAGGAACTACAGACCGAGGTCAATCGACTAAGAGGCCGAGAAGCTGAACTGACAGCACAGGTCGCTTCTTTTGGTGCCGGTTCGGCTGCTTCAGCTGGACCTGGCAGTGCACTGGCACAGTTGGTGCAGTCACAAAAGGAGCTTGTGGACGCCCTTAGATCGAAAGAACAAGTCCGGTTGGTCGACAACAAGGGCCTTGGCAAGCCCGACAAGTTTGATGGGACAGCCGAAAGATTCTTGTCATGGAAAATCAAGACGTCCTCCTATCTTGCAAGTGTTCGCAAAGACCTTCGTGAGATTCTGGTTTGGGCCGAAGATTGCGATCATGCAATCACTGCAGATGACATCGACAAGGCTTTTGGGAGTCAAGCAGATGCCATTGACCAGGTGTCGAACATCAGTGAATTGAGACGCGAGCTTTGGGACGCGCTGCTAATGCTGACAGAGCGTGAGCCCTTTGACATCGTGCTGAACACCGGGGAATGCGGCATCGAAAGCTGGAGAAAGCTCACGCGGAGGTACGACCCATCCACTGGTGGTCGCAAACGCGCTCTCCTCAATGCAATCTTGTCACCGGCTCGATCCAAGATGGAAGATTTGCCGTCCAACCTGGAGAAGCTTCTTGACAGCATCAGACTTTATGAACGTCGCAAAGACGCATCTGGCAACCGAACGATGTTGGCAGAAGACATCAAGATCAACGTGATTGAACGATTGGTGCCGGCAGAGCTCGAGCGTCATCTCGTTCTCAATCGAGATCGCTTCAAGACGTTCGAGTCCATGCTGTCCGAGATCCAGTCCTATGTGGAACATGCCACCGGCAACAAGATCAAGGTGGTGAATAGCCAGCCCTACGACGCACATGGCCGTGGGGACGATCCTATGGATGTCGGAAGCTTTGGAAAAGATGCGAAGGGAAAAGGTAAGGGCAAGAAGGGAGCTGGAGGAAAACCTGGAAAGGGAAATGCAACAGCTGAGAAGAGAACATGTCACAACTGCGGACGCCCAGGACATCTGCGGGCAGATTGCTGGGCACCTGGAGGCCCCAAACATAAGGGGACGGGTGGCAAAGGCAACAGCAATCAGAATAAGGACAAGGGCAAGGGCAAAGGCAGCCCCGGAAAGCACAAGCAGAAGCCCAAAGGAGGCAAATCTGTGAACAATGTCGAACAAGGTGAACCAGAAGCAGAAGACTGGGACGCAGCTGATGGCGACGATGGTCAACAAGCAGCAAATGGTTTAACGCTCTATGGCGTTGATGGGCCACCACATGACGAGGATGACGACGAAAGTTTCCAGGTCGATCCCGAGTCCGAGGAGTCGGAAGCCTCGACAAGTCGCAGAAGGTGGTTTTCTTTGCCTCACCCACGTGCGTCATGGCCTGAAGAGTGGGACGACCCCGACTATGATGGACCGAGTGGATCGAGTGGCTCAAGACCCCTTCGGTCGCTTCGACTGGAGGAGGTCACCGAGCACGAGACCACTACATCCAAGTCCGCGTCTTCCAAGGCACCTCGAACGCCACAGGGAAGACCCAAGAGGGGCAGAAGTCCAAAGAGCTCAACACCAAAGAGAGGCAAAGCAAGCAGATCAGGGCCAGTCACTCCGGAGTCAGCACTCCGACGCTTTCGAATGACTTCGATGACACCACCACCAAGGAGAAGGTTGAGGCATGGGCCACAGACTCCAGAAGAACTTCTTCGTAGCTCTACACCTTTGCCAAAGACACCACCGACACCTATAGCATGGCCTGCATCACCTCCACAACAGCCGATAGCTTCACCCAAGACTCCGCCATGTCCACCACCGGGATGGCAAAGCTCTCAGGTGAAGCCACCACCACCTGTCAAGGCATCATCGGCAGCTTCGACTTCAGGTTCTCGACTTGTCCAGATGCTGAAGGCTGCGCTGAGTTCACAAATCCGCAAAGTCCAAGAAGAAGATCCTGGTTCAGGAGATGGCCAGGCAGATGCGATGTTAGCGGCTTTGAGGACTAGATCTGTCAAGGCACCGCACATCACAAAGCAGAACATCAGCGATCCTTCTTTCCACGACTCGAGATACCATGCCGAGATTGCCAAAGGTGTTGCACACAATGTGGCCTGGAGAAATGAACGTTTGAGAAGACGTGCAATCGTCCACCGACGAGGAGGAGTCAAGGCACGTGCGGCTGAAAGGATTCGACTTGACAAAGAATGGCATGAACGCTTTGACAACCCAGAAAATCCAGAAGGCATAGTGAGAATCGAGGATGAAGACAACTTGGATGCGGGCATCGAGACGGTGGTTGTGGGCAAAGCTGGTCAGAGCACAGTGATAGAGTTTTCAATGGAAGAGCGGAAAACTTTGAGGCAGTTCCCGGACGACGAGGCCAAGTTGCTGCGGAAGGATCCCAAGAAGAAACCCATGACCAAGCGTGTTCGAAGCGTTGGGTACAGGGTGAAGAAGAATCGCAACCGCAATGTGGCGCGCAAGATGGCGAGGAAGAACCGACCAGCCTTGGTTCTGAAGGAAAACACTGAAGTGAACGCAGATGAAGATGATGATGAAATGGAAGAGGTCTACATCGAAGAGCCTGATGAGCCTCGAGACCGACCAGGCAGAGGAGACCCCGATGGTGGAGCTGGATCGGCTCCTGCTGCAGTCTACAGCTTGGGGGCCTCTGACGACTGGCGAAAATGGGAACGAGCAGAGTTGAACATCGACACCGGTGCTGCCATCACTGCAGTACCACTTGACTTCGCCAAGGACTACCCGAGGAGCGAGTCCAATGGAGCAAGCTACAAGGCAGCCAATGCGGAACCCATCGAAGATCAGGGAAGTGTGAAGCTGGTGGGATACGACGAATCTGGCAACAAGATCCCAATCGATTGCCGAGTTGCAGATGTGCATCGGCCACTTCTTTCAGGTTCCGAGATCGCCAAGAACTACCACATCGCCCTTGGACCATCTTCGGGGAGATTGATCCCAAGAAACACTCCTGCGGGACGGGCCTATTCGAAGGCCATGAAAGATCTGATCCGAGATTATGGCGATTCAATGCCCATTGTGCACAATCGCCGAGGCATCTATGTGTTGGACTATTGGGTGTCACCTTTTCAGGGGCATCCTCAAGAGGAGTAAGACCACAAATCAACGCTGTTGGCGAGGATCCAACTGTTTCAGCCGGAGCCGATGCCATGGAAGATGGAGGCGATGTTTCAGCCGCTTCGGCCGGAGCAGGGTCCTCAGGCGATGTTCCAGCTGCTTCAGCCGGAGCAGATGCCTTTGAAGATGAAGTTGATTTGGAAATCGGTGAAGAACAGAGGAAAGCCATTGTGAAGAAAGAACCACATCAACCATCCCAAGCTGAAGTTGACGAACATGAAAGCACTGGACATGTTGTCCATCGGAGCTGGTGCTTGCACTGCAAAAGGGCACGTGTGACTGCTGATCGCCATGTGCCTAAGGAACTTGATGAGCCAGAAACGCAGTTGCCCACGCTGAGCCTGGACTACTTCTATATGAACCAGGACCAGGTTGCGGATGAGGCGACCCTTCCGAGCATTGTGGCGAAGTGCCACAAGACCAAGAGATTTTGGGCGAGCGTTCTCCCGGGAAAAGGGGCGGATGCGTTCGCAATCGCGTGGCTTGGGGGAGTTTTGGATGATGCTGGTTTTAATAAGGTAATCCTTAAGTCTGACGGTGAACCCTCCTTGGTATCCCTTAAACAGAAGGTTAAGGAGATAAAGACCCACATCGAAGTGCACTTGGTGGAAACCCCAGTAGAAGACCATCAAGCCAATGGGTTTATCGAAGTGGGAGTGCGAGAGATAAAACGACAATGTCGTGCTCTCCTCAGCGACCTGGAGTTCAAGCTGGAAAGGAAGGTAGATCCGGGCCATCCACTTTTGGTTTGGCTCCCGCGGCATGCTGCCTTTCTCTTGACGAGATACCGAGTAGGTACTGATGGAAAGACCGCTTTTGAGCGGACCTATGGACGAAAATGGCGGATTCCGCTTGTGAGGTTCGGTGAAAGCATCCTGTATAGGCCGAGGGCCAATCGTGGGGGCAAGAGAAATGACCTTGCTCCAAGGGTATCCATTGGGATGTACGTTGGAACTGGAAACAGAAATTCAGACGTCTTTGTCATGACGGAACGTGGAATCATGAAGGGGAACTCGATCCATCGACGCCCACCTGACGATCAGTTCAAACATGATCAGTTTGACTCGCTACGTGGCCTTCCTTGGAGGTTGCAAGAACGAGAACATGGTGGACTGAGGATCGCCCTTCCCGATGTTGCAGCGCCTCGTGAAAGGCCTGCAGTGCAAGAAGTGATCCCAAGGAACCTCTATGTCACCAAGAATGACTTGGAAAAGCATGGGCACACACCTTTGTGTCCTGGATGTGAAGCAGCAATACTTGAGATGCCAAGCCGAGCTCACAATGCTGAGTGCAGACAAAGAATCCAGATCGAACTTGACAAGACTCCAGAAGGTCAAGAAAGGATCAAAAGAGCGAGAGAGAGAGTTGCACAAGGCAGGCGCCCAAGAGGCGCGGCTGCACCGCCTGAGGGTGGTGGGGCAGAAGGTGGTGAAGCTGCACCACCAGTTGTCCCAGGAGGGGAAGTTGAACAACCAGTCTTGCAAGACCGTGTTCCTTTGGATGCGGAAATGGATGCAAGTGAGGCTGTTGGTGAACCACTGGTCGACACCGATTTTCGTGGAGAACTCAGACAGAGAGAACAAGAAAGAGAAGGAAGCCCAAAGAGGCAGAAACAAGAACAATCCCGAGGAGAGAAAAGGAGTTCACAAGTCGACGTTGAAGATCTTTACAATGAATCTTCAGCTCAGGCTTCAGGGTCAGCCGGACCACCGGCACCGGATGCTTCATCTGGTGTTCCGGAAGGTGCTGCCGCTGCACCAACAAGTCCTGAGACAAACCAGGAGATGCTACATCTGTGTTCCTTGCTCAAAGATGTGATCGCAAAAGGGAAGGTTGCTGAGATCTTCTCTCCACCGCGTGTGGCTGCACAAGCCCAAGTGGTCGGGCTAGCACCTGGCTTCTCGATTGACTTGGAGACAAAGCGTGGTGATGGAACTCACTGGGACTTGAGTAAAGATGAACACATTCGTGATCTGTTTCAACTGCTTGACTATGAGAAACCAGAGTTCCTCGGCGGCTCACCTCCCTGTGGGCCATTCTCGAAGCTGCAAAACATTGTGGATGCGAAGGGCAATGTTTCACCTGAAGTTCGAGCGCAGAGACTAAAAGATGGTCGCAAACATCTGCGCACGGCAGTTTCAGCGTATGAGCATCAAATGAATGCTGGAAGGTACTTCTACCATGAGCACCCTAAAGGGGCCGCTTCGTGGGAAGAGAGAGCTGTGAAGAGACTGAGGGCAGATGAACGGGTGTATGAGGTCACTGGACCAATGTGCCGTTGGGGAATGAAGGCCGCCGATGGCCAAGGTGAAGGGTTAGTGAAGAAAGAAACTACCTGGCTCACGAACTCTCCAATCCTGGCACAGACCCTACAAGGGTGCTGTTCAAACAAAGAAGGCAAAGTTTGGCACCGCCATGTACATCTTGTTGATGGACGAGCCCGAGCTGCCCAGAAATACCCACCAAAAGCTTGTCCACGCAATTCTCAAGGCCATTAGGCGCCAACTGGAATGTGATGGAGAACTACACTCACTTTCACATGGCCCAGTACCCGATGCTGGACCTGTGATCAATGAAGAGGAGGAGTTTTGGAAGCAGCTGCCCGACAGCGATGACACCATCGTGGAGCCAGTGCTTGACGCACACTCCGGTGCTGTCTTGGATGTTGACAAGGTCAGAGCTGCTCGACAAGAAGAACTAGCATGGGTACACAAACAGGGTATCTATATCAAAGTTCCACTCACAGAAGCCCAACAGTCTGGAAAACCGGTCATCACCATGAAATGGATTGACAGAAACAAAGGGGATGCAACACACCCCAACTACAGGTCACGTCTGGTCTGTAGAGAGATCAAACGGGCCAGCAATGCTGACTTCATTCCGGACTATGCGTCCTTCAGTTCGATGCCGCCTTTGGAATCGCTGAAATTGCTTCTATCGCTTATGGTGACTTTGAGACGATCCAAGTCTGGCAATGCACTGAAAGTTCGTCTTCTTGACATATCACGCGCTCACTTCTATGGAGAGGCAGAGCGTGATATCTTCGTGCAGTTACCTGAAGGAGATCGACAAGAAGGGTTTTGTGGCAAGCTCGTTAAGAGCATGTATGGAACACGCGATGCATCAGCGATCTGGCAAAGATCATATACAGAACTTCTCATCCGAGCTGGTTTTGCCAAGAATCAAGCTTGGCCATCCTGCTTTTACCATGAAGGTTACGGTGGTATTCGAGTTCTTGTACACGGAGATGACTTCGTGGTGCTTGCTGATGATGCTGGACAGAAATACCTTGAGGACACCTTGAGGTCCAAATATGATCTGCGGGTCGATGGATCGATCGGTCCTGGAGAACGGCATCAGCAGTTCGCAGTGCTCAATCGAATCGTGACCTACAACGAGCAGGAAGGCTCTGTATCCTATGAGGCGGACCCCCGCCACGTTGACCAGATGGTACGAGATCTAGAAATGGAAAACTGTAAGCCAGTCAAGACACCATCTGAGAAAATGTCAGCCACGGAGGCCAACTTGAAGTTGACCACCCCGACCATCACACCGGACCGTGTAAGTTTCTTCCGGTCTCTGGTGATGAGAGCGTCGTATGTGGCACAGGACAGACCTGACATCGCGGAGGCAGTGAAATGCCTATCAAGAAGAATGCATGAGCCCAAAGAATCTGACTTTCAGGATCTGAAACGCTTGGTGAGATTTCTGAAAGGGAAACCACGTGTACTTTTGAAGTTTGGTCGCCAGAAGTTTTCTGACACGATCCACATGTACGTGGACTCCGACTTCGCTGGGTGTCTTCTTACAAGGCGCTCAACAAGTGGACTTGTGGCAACCTTTGGCCGCCACACGGTGAAGGCCTCGAGCACTCTTCAGAGCACGATCAGCTTGAGTTCCGGTGAAGCGGAATACTACTCGATCGTTCGAGGAGTTTCCATCGGAATGTCGCTACAGGAGATCTTGCGAGGATGGGGCCTACAACCAAAACTTAAAGTGCACACAGATTCATCCGCTGCGCTGGGAACATGTAACCGTCAGGGCTTAGGCCGCTCACGGCATGTTCAAACTCGCTTTCTGTGGGTGCAAGAAAAGCTTGCACTACATGAATTCGAACTGGTGAAGATCCCGACAAAGCAGAACGTAGCTGATTTGTGCACCAAAGGTTTACCTGCGAATGAGATGGAAAGACACATGCAAAGCATGGGGTTCGAGTACTCTCATGGTAGAGCCGAAGCTGCAAAGGCTTTGGAATGAGTGTACATCAGCTTAGGAAAATCCCAGCCTCTGTACAGGAGGGGTGACGGGATATAGGGTTCTCACTAGTTGCTACGCCAACCTTTGGCTCAAGAACACCGCTGCTAAAATAGCGAGTTGCATATTCTCCGTTCAATACATATATATATATATTTACATAGTTACATATAGTTACTATGATTCATGATTGCCATCACTTTCCCCATACAAAATTCCCTCATTTTCCCCAATATTTTTTCCTCATTTTTCGCGGAATTCGTAAGGCTGGAATTCATGGAGGGGATGAGACAGCTGAACTACCCCGCCAGTGAAATCCCGCAGCTCTTTTGCGACATCGATGTAGAACCTCGGTGGCGGCACGGCGGGCACCGCAGGGCACGGGGCGGTTGGAAATGGGGAAAGATGGGTACCCTCTGGTAAACATACAAAAAACCATTGAACATGGCCATAGAAATAGTGGATTTACCCAGCTATAAAATGGTGGATCTTTCCAGTTCGTTACGTAAACGTGAGGGTAAAGCGTATGAATTGTTGTTGATATTACCTACTAGATGGTTATAAATAGTTGATATATTACCTAGTTAGAAATTGGTTTATATACAAAGCCTATAAAAGAATCTATTAACTATAGTAATAAGTAATTACCATAAACTATAGTTATTGGAGTTATTAGAACCAACATAGCTATCGTGGCCGGGGGCCCCACATTGTAGGCTGGTGGAACTCTGGTTTTTTGATTTGGAATTTATGGTTGACCTGTAGAAATCCCCAGATTGGGACGGTGAGCAATGCCTAGTGGTTGATGGGGGTTCCCATGTTGAAATTGATTCATGGGACGTTTATCCCTCAGTGAAACTGAGAATAAACCACGCTGAAAAACATCATTTCTGCTTAAAAAAACCCAACGATTGGAAAGTGAATCTCTGAATTTTCTCGGGACCATGGCAAAAAATAACAACCTTCCATGGGACCGTTCAGAGTTATCATCATCAACCAACCTTGATGGATTTTTTTTTGCACCTCCATGTTTTGACCTAAACGAACACAATCCAAAACATAAAACTATACAGTCCAGTACTATCAAAGACAATGGTTTGTAATGGTGCATTGGCATATATCTATATCTCTATATATATATACATGTATCTATATACATATATATATATATACATATGTGAGTTTGACCTGTCTAATGTATATTTTGTATAGCCAAGTGATCACATGCCCCCGTTGACATTTGGCTTTAGGGCCCTTGAGTCATACCGCGCTGCCGTGGTAAAAGTTGGGCACTAACGATCCCGTTTCCAATTCATATTGGTAGCGGAGCAGGTGACGACCTGCATCCGGTGGTACGTCAGTGACCCAGGGAACCCTTTGTGAATTTGAGTCTGGTAACTTTGGGAATCAACTGAACTTCGAGTGTGTCGTGGTTCGGGAATCTGTCTGACCCTGACCAGGGCAGACACTTGTTAACGTTTTTCCTTGTTCGACTCCGAACGGAGCGAGCATCATGTCGATCAATGGCCTTCGTTTCCATCAGGAACGCCATTCGTCGGCACCACTTGAGACGAAGAGTGGATCATACATCTATGCAGGTGATGCGGCGAACTTTCATGATTGGCAGTTCAGGACTCTCCTTCGGATTCGTCTTTATGAGCAACAATTGGAGGAGGAGACAAGTAAGCCTGCGGATCCCGTTGGGACCACAGCAACAGAGCCTGCCGCAGAAGACGCAGATGAGTATGTTACTTTTCCAGATTTGTCGGGTGCTACTCAAGCAGCCCAGCCTACATCAGCAGTCTCGACTCCGAAGTCTGGAGCGAGCCGAAAATCCTCGAAGTCCGGCAAGCAGACGACAGACATTGACCGTGGACCATTGGTCAACAAGGTGATTGAAGGACTGAGAGGAGATGCTTTCTCAATAGCTAGGGATCTTGGACTTGAAGTGTTGTCCAAACCTGGTGGCCTTGTGAAACTTGTGGGTGAGATCAAATCCCATGTGTTTCCAAGAGCCCGTGAGGAAGCCAAGGAATTATTTCGAGCAGGACAGAAGCAAGGTGGTCCTTTATCTCGCCAACCAGGCGAACCCATGCTTTCCTATGTTCAGAGGAGACGACGTTGGTGGCACATGCTATGCGAGTTGGATGACACAATGGTGTTTTCGGACAGCTTGAGGACAGAGTTGATGTTGGAGTTGAGTGGGCTCAATCGACAGGAGATCCTCGTTGTGAAGGCCTGTGCAGACACTAAGGATTTTGAAGGTGTTGGCAAGGTGCTGATCGAGAACTACAGTGGCACTCACTTGCGAGAAGGGTCACGATCCTGGACAGGACGTGGTAATCCTCAACAGCATGGCAAGTCGTCAGGCAAGGGTTATGGCAAAGGCAAACCTTCTTCGAAGGGATCGTATTCCCAAGCAGCCTATGCAGCCTACCCCGATGATGGGGAGGAACATGCAGAATCTTGGGATGAAGCTGTGGATCAATCCTGGGAGGATGATTCATATGTTGGCATGCTTGGTGACATTGCAGAAGAGGAGCCAGGAAACCTAGAAGGTGACAACGAATTTGATTACTTTGACGACGTCGATGAGTACGAAGCAGTTGCATTGAACAGCTTGCTTGAAGTTGAAGGTGCAGAAGACGATCGACAAGCAGGAGACGCCATCCAGCTACAACTTGCTGCTTTCACCGCAATGGGGAAAGCAGGTGGCAAGGGCAAATCCTTCGGGAAGCCCAAAGGAAAGGGGAAAGGAAAGATCGTGAAGTCCAACCTCACGATCGATCAGAGAAGACGGAAGCTCACAGAGCTGAAGTCGAAGAGCAAATGTTTGAGATGCGGAGTCATAGGGCACTGGGCCGGTGACCCGGAATGTAAATTCCCGGGGTCGAAAGCCGGAGCCCCTGGAAAGTCAGCCCCAAAGCCCGCAGCTCACTTTGCCGACATGAGCGATTCTTCAGATGACGATGGTGTGACTCTGACAGCTTCACCTGATCGTGACAGAGATGGAGTTGCTATGATGGCAGTTCGACAAGCGAAGCCTAGCAGTCGACCTTCACGTGCAGCAGCATCCAGCAGCAACGTTGGCTTGATTTCCCGGGATCTCGATGTTACAATGAGACCCGAGGACCATGGGTGCATCTTTCCTGTTGGACAGTTCAAGGGTTTGTCTTTTTGGAATGTGTTGTTTGAACAGACAGGGTACTATCATCATGCCAAGAAACATACCCCCAAGAGTCCATACTATGTCACATGGTTGAATTGGGTTGACAAGTACTTTGTGGTTGGTGCTGATGGGATTCACTTGCGCGAAGTCCCTGTTGAGCATGTCGAGCACCGAGATTTGTTGGTGGCTCGGGGAACTGGCAGAAAGAAACCCCCAAATCCTCCTTTGCCGAACAAGTGTCAGGAATGTCGTGAGTTTACAAAACAAGGTTCTACGGGGTACACCATCAGGAAGACCTGTCTTGTGTGCGGTCATTCCGAAACAACAAGGCGTGACATGGTACCGTTGATGTCCCCTGAGAATTGCCCTCATGATGACACCGATTTTAGGGGATCCAGCAAATCAACACACCGTACTTTCTGCAAGAAGTGTTGCACTTTCATTGATGAAGCTCCTATGCAGATTCGCAAGGAGCGTGTTGCCATTGCCAAGAAGGTTGAAACAGCATCAGTTCGAACAGTCCCCATTGTTGAATCATTGGTTGAAGAATCGGATGGATTGAATCCAGTCCAGTTGGAAGAATTGTTGCCCCTGTTTGCCACTCTTGTTACCGAAGCCTGTCAATCTGAGGTCATGACCCGTGCACGTCTACATGAACTACTCCATCAAGCCATCAATGACGTGACAGAGGAAGAGGACAGTTTTTCACTTGTCAATGAAGATGGGCACGGCGACCCCTCGGGCAGGGAGTTAGCTGGGTACGTTGGCATTTGTTTGCATGGAAGTGACAGTCAATACCCTCAAGACTTGGTTTACATGAACTATGAAACTGTTGACATTGCCAAGTCACCCCATGTTTTTGCAGTGTTGGATGAAGGTTGCAACAGCACTTGTCATAGCAAAGCCTGGGCAGTCGATGCAGAAGCACGACTGGCCCGATTGGGTTACAGCATGCCATTGAAGGATGACGGTTGTAAGAGTTTTGCTGGTCTGGGAAGTGGTAGTACCAAGACCGAAGGTGTGAGATCTATTCCTTTTTCGCTGCTGCTTCCAGACGGGAACATGCATGGGGAGTTGGATTCATATCAATTGTCAACAGGCAACAGCCCATTGCTTCTTTCATTGCATGCGCAAACCAAGTTAGGCCTAGTGAAGGACCTAGCAAAAGGGGTGATTTCCATCAAAGATCAACCATTGAATATCAAGAGATGTTCCAAATCAGGTTTACTTGTGATGAACTTGACTGAAGGATTGACCAACATCAACAACACACCGTCGGATGAACTTCCCCAAATCCCGAAGTGTCACAGAAAGTACAACATCGCATACACAGCATCCACATCGGAAGTTGCCATGGCTGACCATGACATGTGTGGTTTTCATTCGAGGGACTACGACATCTTGCAGACGAAGTTGAATGAAGAACTGCGCAGTGACAGGAAGGTGGTCATCATGACTCGTGGACGTAGATTTCAACAACATGCGTGCAGAACCAGCAGGAGCACTTTGAGCATCAACTGTGAGGACATTAACGATCCTGATCAGGACGTTAACCTCAGGTCGCATGTGGGTTGGCATCATGTGATCCTTGAGACTATGAGCAAAGTAGACAGGTTCATCCAACATCTCAACAACATCCTCCAGTTCGTCACACAGCAGGAAGCCGACAGTAAGGTGCTGGTGGACTTGGAGTGCAAGTCAGGTCGCCACAGGTCAGTGGGACAAGGATTTGCTGCCTACAGGTGTCTCAGAGTCCTTGGTTATGACGTTGTTCTCATTCATGCATCATCCTGGATGTGGGGAGAGATGCGTTGTGGTGGAGTTTGTCATGGAT